TTGCCCACTTCGCCTCCCATACAATTCTCGGCAACCTCTCNGGGGGGGGGGGGGGGGGGGGGGGGGGGGGGGGGGGGGGGGGGGGGGGGGGGGGGGGGGGGGGGGGGGGGGGGGGGGGGGGGGGGGGGGGGGATGAAGCCATTAGAGAGAAAGAGAGAGAGAGAGAGAGAGAGATAGGCAGACAGAGACAGAGACAGAGACAGAGACAAATAGAGAAAAGGGCGCAGAGCAGGAAAGCGAGTACAGCGGTAGTGGCTCTTGGCCGGCCGTATTCTGGGAACCGCGCACTATTCACCGCAGTACGAGACAAGATGCAATAATATGCTACCCGTTTCATTTGATTTCAATGGACTTGGCCTTACACAGGGCAAGCAACTTCCACACTGGCGGCAGCCCCCTGCACGAACCAGCGGAGCATCATGAAGACGGAACAGCGGACATGAATGGTGGGGTCCGAAGCCTCCCTCGTCAGTACCGCTCTTCCGACAGCCTGGCCGACACATAGGGACAAGAAGCACGCACCGGCAGCCTTGGATACTTCTCCAAGGGCCTCAAGCACAGCCATCTTGGACTCAGGCAAAGCCTTCCTGTTGTCCAGCAGCTTGTGCAGATCGAGGACCGCTCCGACGGCATTCAGAGACTCGCACAGCTCAAACACCTGCAACAGCAGCAGCAACAACAGCGGCGGCGGTGACCACAGGTTGCGAACTAACGAAGCGAGAGGCAGGCAGAGGCATGATAGCCCAGGAACCACGAAGCGATGGGAAACGTTCGGCTGATTAGCAGTAGCGGCAGCGGAAGCAGCTGCAACAGAGAGCGAACCACCGAAGCGTAGACACGGGGTACTGGACCAAAAAAAGGCGGCGGGTTTTTGGGCGGACCGTACTGGAATCGCAGCGGGGCAATGGTGGTCGCCGTGATGAACGTCTATTAAAGGGGCTTGCTTCATTTCCCGGCCGGCCTGGTTATCGATTCGAAGCGAGGTGATCGCGAGGGTGCTCAAGGAGAGGCGGTATCGCCGCATGATCACCGTAGATGACTTGAGACACCACACTCCTTAGACCGGTTTTGAGAAAGGAACCGCATTTACTCCACTACAGAAGTAGTGTTTTATTCCGCCGTAGAATGAGTGGCGGTGCCAATAATAGGGTCGTTGGAAGGCGCCCGTCAATGTAGAGCTTCTCGAAAATGAATAATTCGAGCTACGCATACTCTTCGTCGTGAAGGTAGTGGAGCCGTGAAATCGGTCGGGGGGCAGGGGTGAGTCATCATATATAGGGGGAAGAGATATTTAGTATGGTATGGTATGGTATGGTATGGTATGGAATGCGGAGAAGTCAGGGGCCAAGGCAGACCTGGCTGAGACACTCTGCGACAGAGCGGCAGAATGGCGCGGTGATTTCCAGCTTCTTGTTGGACAGCACTCCTTGCAAGGTGGTGTTGCACGCCTCACAGTCCGCTCGCAGCTCCGAGTCCGACTGGCCCTAATGGCGACGGCACGCCAAAGAACAAGGGGAAACACACACAGAGATAGTTAGCAAATTGTGCTGGAGAAACCGATATAAAAACAGAGTACGCGCGGTGAAGATCGCGAAGTTGGGGTCAACAAGCAAGCATGCCACCCGGAACGCCTGCTTTTGGGAAACTTCCCAGAATACTCGAGTTACAAAAGGGCGTCACACCACGTATTTAAGAACCTCTTGCGTAGTCCGCGAGGCTCGTTTCTCACTATTTCCTCTCTCGGGCAACTAGCTCAACAGCTTCTGCATAGGAATCAGAACAGTCTTAATTGTGTACCTGTTCTCATGATCGAGTTCGAATGTTTCGATCTTTCGAGCCTGCACTTCTTATTTCCCAGTATCGTGAATTGTGGGAGTTGACACATATAGTAGAATTGCTAGCAAGTTGCTTCCCCCGCCACCCCTCCTCAAAGACGCGGTGTCGTTGCCTCAGGCAACCGTCCGTAGATCCCATTCGTGTAGCTAAGTAGAGCATGCGCTTGTACGGTCGATGCAAAACACGGAACCGTCGTACAGCACACAAGACGCTCGACAAGGCGCACACGCAGGCGGAATCCTCTGCAGCAGTGTATCTATACATACGCTGCAATGCACACCCATCCACACCTGTCCCAGGTGTTTCATGCGCAGCTCCAACCTCAGCACCCCGCACAGCGAGCTCAGCGCGAAGAAGAGCGTCTTGGTGGTGGCGAACCGCTGGTCCTGCGACGCTGCCACGCGCGCTTGCAGCGCGGCCTCCACAAGCTGAGACGCATCGCCTATCTTTCCGAGCGCCGGCGGCTGCTGCTGCTGGGGCCGTTGCGAGGCCGCCGCCCCAGCCGTTGCCGCTTCTGGTGCCTTGGAACCCGCCATGGCTGGCGTTAGTGTCGGAGTCCTTAGGTGGAGCGAACGAGTCAAGCGAAAGAGTCAAGCGACCACCGCGCCAGGGCCGGCGGATGGTGGCGGAGACAGCAATGCTATTCGCTAAATAACAAAAATCGGCTGAGGCATTTCATGAAAAAGGGCGTGATCGTTGTGCCGCGTAGATAGCCCAGGTGACGGTGGTGGGATAGACGCCACCACCCGCCACGACCAACACCGCACTCCTGCCGGCTCTTCCTGCTCTACGTGCGCGACGAGCGCTAATAACTCCTTGGGGAAGGTCATGTGCGACATCGCTGTTCGGCGACGGCATCTACCGCAAAAAACGGCACGTCTTGCCGATGCTTTCTAATGTTTTCTTCGGCGTCGTCACACACAAGTCATACTCAATAAGTGCATCACTCGCGATGCTATCTGCTCGCTCGTGATTGGCAGCTCCTTCCTGTGTGTTGAGCAGTACTGCTATACCCTGGTTGGTGCTGTGTCGGAGAGGCTGCGTGCCTTTCTGCAACTGACTCTGTCGCATATGACATCGGAAAGATCTACCAAAGATGCATTGTTGGAGAAAGGAAGGCGACCCAGAGGAGGATAAATGCGAAGGTTGTATCGATGAATACACTCCATTAACGCAACCCTTGCATGCTCACGCATTCGCGCGGAATAATTGCCGGTCTCCTTCCAAATCAACGTGTCCGTGTGACACGTCCTAGATATGTTCTGGCTGCAAGCATGGCTTTCCAAACAACGTCGCGGTGGAAAGTTCATGTGTGTCGGGGATAGAACGGGTGCACAGGTTGAGGATGTCAAGTCCGGTTGGAATGACCCGACTTCCACCCAAAACAGCAGCAGCAGCAGCAGCAGCAGCAGCAGCAGCAGCACGTTGGGTTTGTTCGAAACACTGAACAAGGATTGGCTCTACTCGGCCTGTGCTTCGCTGTACACAGGGGCGGCCTCCGTAGGATTGATTCATCTCATCCGCGCCCAACAGCAGTTGTGCGGATTGTTCACACTCCTTGTCCTAAACACTTTACTCCGTAAATGAACCTATCGAAACCTGCTTTTGTGCGACCGCTGGGGTACACCTGGAGCTCTGCATGTTAGGGCTCGAACGCTGCTCTTGTCGCGCAGCAGCACAGGGGCAGCTGCAGCACGAAAGAACAGAACCTATCGATGCTCCAGCGTTGCTCGATGTGGGTGTTCACCACCTACTTTGTTCAACATGGATCTCCCCTATTAACACCGACAAGGAATATCGCGGCACCTGCTTGATGCTTCCCTCCTTCCTGTGCTGCCCAGGCACCTCGCGGCGCTCTCCACCGGCACTCTTCTGCACTATACCCACGCTGGTGCGCTTGGGGGGCACACAGCTGTACCGCAGTACAATCCCCCCGCTCCGGTGTTATTAAGAAAACATGCCACGTGTCCATCTAGGGGGTGCGGGGACGCGATTTAGCCGTTTCGTTACTTTTTGTGTTTTTTCTGCATCTCCGACGAAAGTTGTTGGCGACTTGGACGACCGAGGGTGTAATGCACGCGGTGATGGCGTTCGAAAACTCGCCGTGTTTGGTCCTTGTCGCAAAGCGCGACCTGTACCAGCAATAGTCGTACAGAGGGGAGAGCCGGGGCATGACACGAAGGAGACGTGGGCGTTGGTGCCCTGGGGTGCGGAACGAAAGGTGGGTGGAGGCCAATTACGTGAGGGTCGGAGTCGATTTGGTGGAAGGTTGAGGTGGGTGTTCCGAGTTCCCGCCGCTTGGGTGATCTAGGCTCTCTACCGAAAGCACTTCGGGAAGGACCCTGAAACCCTCATATCAGGTTCCGTAAACAGCAGTCTCCATCAGAGTCCCTGCGTGCTTCTGCAGGCAAAAAATGGAATTATGTGTTGGGCCCTGTAGGACTTGCTCGCAGAGCTGCGCTGTTTCTTGAGAGTAAAGGAGGGTATGCGACGGAGGCCTGTGCTATGCGGTAGTCTGTATAGGAGACAATACCCCCGAAACACCCCTTTCAGCCGCTTGCTGTGATCTGCGCTTGTTTGGGGTACCGCTATTCCTTGGAAACTCCCTCGCCTCCACAGACTATAGTGAACGTGCCGCCACCCAGGAGCTGTACAGGCGGCCCAGGAGCTGTGCGGGCGGCACGGGAGTACGCTGAGCTGCAATAATTGGAGGGATGGAAAATGCTAACGAAGCACCTACAACATCGCTGCCGGTACCGGACGACCAGCCTGTGGAGGATGGGGTTAGAATACCGAGGCGGTGGGGAAGGGATAGTTGGGGAGCGTCTACGAGCTCGACGACGGATAGCTCCAGAGGGTCGTCGTTGTTGAGGACACGTGTAGATGACGACATGAGCGCGGCTTCCTTGTCTTCAAATGCAAGTTCGGTTGCTACCTTTCCTGCTTCCTCTGCTCACGCCAACACCAACACCACCGCTACCACCTTGGGTGGTGCACCCAACAGCAGTGGAGCAAGCGTCCAGTCTCGCACTGCTGCAGCAAGCGGTAGCGCTAGAGCAGAGCAACGCGGGGCTGGAAACGACAACAACCAGGCAGATCCAGGGATTGAACATGGGATACCCCAGATCCCGGTTGTCGTCGCCACCAAACCGCGACGCGTCAAGATGGGGGTCGCGCCTCGCGGGCGATTTGGCCGAGCACACCGGATCGTAACCAGAGCATCAAAGGCCGAGGCGACGGGGAAGTTTTGGAGCGGAGTGAAACCGGCTAGGACAAACTCTACGCTGGTGATTCCTACAGGGGGAGGCCCGCCTGGCTTGTCGATGACGACGTTGAGGGCGGCGATGAAACTTAAGAAGAAGGCCAACGTGATCCAGGCCAAGTCTGTCATGTCCAAGTACATCGTGGACCCGCGGACCTCGCGAATGCAGTCCTGGAAGAACTGGATGTTCGTAAACATCATGTTCACCGTGCTGGTGACCCCGTGGCGAATAAGCTTCCGGTGCCCGGCGAACGCCTTCGGGTTGACGCTGGCCGCGATCGCCAACATTTCTTTCATCGTGGACACGGTGCTGCACTTTTTTACGGCGGTAGTGACGGAATCAGGCCTGCTGACCGAGCGCCAGGAGATCGCACGGCGGTATATCACGTCGTGGTTTTTTCTCGACCTCGTGACCTGTTTGCCGTACACAACGCTGCTCCGGAGCGTGATCCCTGCCAGCTTGAGGGCGATGGCGCCAGTGCGAGGGTTACGCTTGTTGAAACTGCTAAAGGTGGTAAAGGTCTACGCGTTGCACTACGAGGTCAGTCTTTACCGTACGCGTTTTCTCCTGCAGCCGGCTCTTGTGTCTAGACTCTCTCTTGCGTCACGAAAGTCCATTCTCGCTGCTATATTCCTGTAGATAGAGCGGTTTCACAGCAGCCACGCCTAAAGCCTAACGGCCCCCTTTAGATGAATTTTGATGAAGCTTGAGGTATTGGTGGTGTTGGTGCGGTTAGCGTATGAAGGCGGAGACCTCGTTTGGCTTAAGCGCAACGGCACTGCTTCTTTCTATCATTCAAGCCAAAAGAAAAAAGTTACATGCCCCCGTCCTCAACGTATGGCAGGTCTCTCTCCACGTACTATCTGCCGACACAGGCAATCCTGGACGTTTTTGATGGCGAGTCGTATTCTGGAACACCACTACCAGCCCGCAAGAGGAGTGTGGCTACAGTAGATGAAAAGAAACATCCTGTGTCTATCTAGATGAAAATAAATTGAACGATATTTTCGTGTTTCGACAGGTGAGCCCTGTGGCCATGAGCATCGGGAAGACCCTGGTCACAGTTATTTTGGCGGCCCATCTTCTGAGCTGTTTCTGGTTCTGGGTCCACTGCTATGACGACCTCCTAGCGGTGAGGAGATGTGCAGCAGTTAGCGATGGCGTTAGGGTACGGTAAGGGTTCCGGTAATTGGAGGCTACTGATCAAAATGTCGGAGAGGATACAGGTCTGTGGCGCAACTTCGTTGCCGTACTATCTCCGACACATTCCTGCCTTGCGGTTGTGAGCGTCAGCACCTGGCGTGCGTGTCCGAGTTCGTCAGTGATCGTCGTGCATTATTTCTTGACGTTGCCTGCTCCACTTAATATGGACCCTCCTCCTCCTCCTCGCTCGAACCACGCCATCGATCAAACCGAAACCGGGGACGAATCGAAAACAACATCAACAGGGGGTAGAAACAGAATGGAACCAGTGCGGATCGTCGACATCTGTGGCAAGCCAATACCTGTCGTCTTTTTACTTCATCATCTACACCATGATGACGGTCGGGTACGGAGACCAACACGCGCATCCTTCTGACAAAAAGGCGAGAAACACGGAGTGGGCGAGGGGTTACGCATGTGCCCGATGAGGCTCAGGGTTGAGACTGGGCGTCACCAAGTTGTTTTTTGGCGGTGTGAGAATCAGAATCTTGAAAATGGGACGAGGTAACCACAGCCCGAGTCCTTGCTTAGAGAGCTCGGCCGAGAACGGACGGGTGGCAGGTTTTTGGCATACTGACCCTTCTCCTCATGGAGCTTTGTGTTTAGCAGCAGAGCGTTCTACAAGTTAGGAATGGAAGCAAGTTTGCCGTTCCCACACGTTGGGAATGTGCATCTTGAGCCTCCCACTCTCCCCCGTATCGCTGTTTGTCCACCACGTGCTCTCTGACTGTCAACCCGCCACAAAACCCTTTCACTCTCATCACCTTGTTCCCGTATCGGCTAACGGTCGACATCCATCGAACGGCGCGCCTCAACCCATTCTACTGCACAACGCTTGCTGCATCATCGCGTGCCAGGGGCTGATATTGAGCGTGTTCATCCAGCTTACGGGGGCGACGCTCTTCGGTTTCATCATCGCGGCCACGAGAAGAATAGTGCAGTTTATCGCCCCCATCCAGAAGGTCACCACCACCAACCTACAGGTAACGGCAGCACACAGACTGCCGGAGACGACTAGGAACGCGCAGACCGCCTACAACGACCTCGGTCGAGCGCTGCTGTTGGGGTCGGGGTATAGTTTGGAATTGAGCTGCAGCTGAGGTCAGGGGGACAAAACCATGTTCAGGCTCGGGGCATCGCTTGCTGTTAGACGGACAGCACCGATGGACCTCCATAGTGCAGTCACGCACGTTAATTTTGTTTAGGGCTGGACTAGCCATGCTGGTTGGCTTCGGACATACAACTTGACCGGAGCAGGTATCCTTCTTGCTAAACTATAGCCTACGCCATTTGTGATCAGGCCACAGGAACATACTGTCCACACCATAGCACTGCTAAGCAAAGCAATCTCATCTAAACCCAGACAAGAAAATTGAACGAAAGGCATCGATGCTGGAGAAAGGATGGCGTAGGGAACACTGGGTGAAGCAGAGGGGTTCCGAGAATCTGTCTCACCCACCAGGAACAACGACACAGCGAGGAGGGGGCGGTGTCGGGATGCCAGGGGTCATCACGTCGCACAGAATAAGAGGATTGGTCTTTTGGGCTAAATCGGGGACACGGGCGCGGGGTGCGGACACAGCGGAACGCGCCAATACCTTCCTCCATTATCCCCAATACAACCCGATCCTGGAAGATGTTCTCCGAAGTTCGCATGGTTAAGCAGAAGTACTTAATAAGGAGGGCGGCCTAACAAAGAAGAAGGAAACAGAAAAACAACCCAACGCCGCGCATACTCAACAGCATACCGCCCCCCGTCGCCACCAACTGCCAACAACGCACCCCCACGCACGACGTCGTTCCCCGCGCCTTAGAAAATTTCTGAGTATGCGTTGGATCGAAGGTTGCCGGACGGCATTAGCTCTCGGATAAAACGACACTTCCGGTATTATTATTTCAAGACGAGCGTTTTCGACGAGAGGGCGGTGATGGAGCATGTGCCGTGGCAGATATGCCAGGAGGTGATGTCCAAGACGCATGCCGTGGCCATCTCGGCCACGGGGCTCCTGCAGGTGAGACGGCGTGCTGCCGGTGCTACTGTTGGATATGTTGTCGTCGTTGTCGCAGTTGTCGTGGTTGTCGTTGTCATTGTCCCACGCTGTCTTTGTGGTTGTCGGTCGTTTTCCGATGCTGTCGATGCACGAACGGCACACTGCCTGGTCGTGTATGGAACCTGTTCAGTTGTAGATGGGTTTGAATGTTGTGTATGGAGGTGATGAGATGGTGTTGATGTGTTGTTTTGAAATATAGCAGAAGAAACATCCGGACACATTGCTGGTAGCGGATATTCTTCAGGTTTGTCGTGTATGTCAGGCCCCAGCCCGGCCAAGCGAGCCCATGGCCACAGAATACCAACCCATATCGCGTGTCGAAAGCAGGGGAGCGACGTTAGTTTTCTCCGGGTCGTAATGACGCGTAAGAGTGTGCTACTTGTAAACGGTTATGTTCCGGTCAAATCGCCGCCATGATGAGTGAATTCCGGCACCTCGCGCCCCTCGCCGGTGCTGGGCAAGATGATGGCTTATCTTATGTTGCAAACAACGGAAACATGATAACAAGGCCATGACTCGAACCCCCGTCCAGGTCGTTAGTAGCATTCTCGACGTCTGTGCTGCCACAGTAGTCAGTGCTGACTACTGTAGACTACTGTAGACTACTGTAGACTACTGTATTGTGCAACCGACAGGTGCGTGGATTTCTCACGACGGGAATTGTTACGAATCATGCATTTTTTGCAGAAATGGCTCAGTTCTTAGAGCCAACACCTTGAGCTATCGTTTCGATCCCGGGCCTTGCGTGCTGATACGACAAGGTAATGTGATGCGAATTGGTCGAAACGGTCATGACACAATAATTCCGGAGTATTTCGAGGAGAAACACGCAAAGTTGTCCCGCGATTCACCAAGCAAACCTTGTCAGCTCTGAAACGGATAGTAAATAAACCATGGAGACAAACTCTCAAAAGGAACCCCGCCTTTCTCAGGACCACGACTTGTCGCCTATCGCGCTCATGCGGCTGGCGAGGGCGATGAAGCCGATGGAGCTGGACAGCGGGGAGGAGGCAATACTGCAGGAGGACACCGTGCTCCAGGCGTACTTCGTCATCAAGGGGAGGGTCGAGGCCTACGTGCACGAGGAGGCGCGAGGGCGCCGCCCCTCGTTCGGAGGGGGAGACGCAGACACGCCTCCCTTGCGGCAGTCCTCGTACTTGGGGGTTTGGGGACCTGGATCGATGTGGGGGCTCAGCAATATCATACTCGGGGGGGGGTCAGAGGTACGCGTGTTGGCCGGTTGTACACCTGCATTTCTTTTTCGGGACAGGACTGGAAAAGCACGCCTGTTGGGGGGGGGCGCTCGTGTTTGCCGCGCGCTGTGTACCGACAGCATTCACAATCCTTCGAGAAAGGGGGGGGGCGGGCGGGCATGCAGGCCAATGATCGCAGCACGTGGGAAGCAAGCTTCACGTTGGCGTTGGGCGTTGGGGGGAGTGTTTTCCTACTTGACTTGCCGAAGGTGTCATATACTTAATGAACTGGAGCATCAATTCCTCGCCCCATATCCCGGCCCTCTAGACGCACTTTGCGACAGACATGGTCAACCAAACCTCGCCCAAGGTTCAATCGTTTGAATGGCAGGGGAGAAACAAGCAGAACCTAATTCGTGCGCTTGCTCTGCTCACAACCAGCAAGCCGTTAGATCTTCCATCAGCACTAAAGTTCTTGAGTCGTGCATGTATGCTCGGATAATGTCCAGGCAACCTTTGTCGCTGCCTCCCCGAGCGACCTGCTTTGGCTAGACCAGTCAGACCTCATCGCGGCCATCGACGAGCACCCGGACATCAAGGGTTGCCTCGAAAAGACGGCCTCTGCCGACTACCACGTAAGTCCAACACGGCGAACCCTTTAAGAACTGCAGTCTCTCTCTCTGTCTCTGTCTCNCTCTCTCTCTCTCTCTCTCTCTCTCTCTCTCTCTCTCTCTCTCTCTCTCTCTCTCTCTCTGGGTGGCTGCGTGGATCTAAGAAGTGTGTTGCTGTGGTCGTACTTCCAACTGCCGCTCACACACTTCTCCAACCATAGATTGAATCGCTTCCACCCTTGGTAAGGATGGCAACATCGCACACGACTCGTCACTCTGGCTTCTCGCATGACCCCAGATCTATGTTGTGAAGGTATCTGTAGAATGCTGAGCAGGGTGGACGAGCGAGGACGGCTTTGATACGAACGCAAGGGCGAAACATCATCAGCAACTGCAACTGCAACTGCAACATCAAACAACTGCAACTATCTGTTATCCCTATTGCATATCTCTGTTGTGGTACGTCGGACGACCAGACCTTGCGGGAAGCTGTCGAGTCGCCGACTATCACCAAAGAAGGGCTCAAGCTCAAGCAGATCACTCTCACCGACTTCAAGGTGGGAACAGCCATCCCGCTCCTTGCACGCTACTTTCCGATTGTTGTGATCACCATTATTCCATTTGTGCGCCTACCCACCGCAGTTTTTCGACACCTACTATCTAACAATTCCGCCTGGTAATGTGGGCCGTTAGAGACGCTGCCGCGTCTTGGGAGGTTAGGGTTGTGGGACTGAAGACAATATGGTTGAATACACTGACTACCGAAAATGAAACCCCCTCCGTCACATGATTCCCTTTCGATATCAAAACCATGCAGGCTTCCGACTTGAAGCAACAGCTCAAGCACACGGACGTTCGGAATCTCTGCATGGCTGCTAGCGCCGACCAGTTAGCTGCCGCGGCGGCTAGCCAAGCCGCCGCGGCTTCTCACGGAGGGATGGTGGGCATGGTGCACGACATACAGCACATGGCGGCGTTCGGGGGGAAGGGGGTGAGGGGGAGACTGAAGAGCTTCGTGGGCACTGTCCACGGGGTGCTTCGAGGGCAGAAGATGCAGATGAGGCAAGTGAACAATAGTCTAGATTTCGAATCTGGTAAACACGAAATCATTGAACTTTGAGGCTAGGACACTGCAAGCAGCTCCCAGCTTTCCGTACCGTCGCTTTCAACATGTATTCCGAATTCCTCCGTTATCTACTGTACAATTGTGGGACTAAGCAACGGTTGAATGTTTTTTCACCCTGCCATAACGTGACCAGCCAATCGTCGAAGCATCACACACCTGTAAAGTTTCAAACTTTGTCTGCTGGATTGCACGGAAGTGTCCTGCTTGTGCCAAGTCAAGCTGAACGGAGAATTTATCCGATTCAGGGAACATCTTGCGAGGTTGGAAGCATGTCGAAATAGCGTGCTATTCTAGTTCCTCCTGCTCTCGTTCTTTCGTCGTTGATAAACACTGATCGTGAGAGCGGATGCTTCGTGGATGGTGTGCACATTTCCATGCCTACTCGGATTCGACATATTTTGCGCACGATAGTAACGGTGAATGCGACCGAAGAAACGTTCGATGCGGGGTTTTGTCTTCATGAAACCCAGAAGATTGGAAGGCATTTCCGACTCGTGTCCACCCGCATCAAGGCGCCCTTTTGTGTATATATATATATATTATCATTTTATTCGGCAACAAAAACAACAAAAACAACCTGTATTTGAAATATCATGTCTGCACTGAAGTGGGAACAAATTCTTGGCTCCACGAGGCAACATTGTTTTCCGATTCATTCGTGTGCACTTGCTCCAGGTCGCGTTGTTGTTGCTGTTCGCGAGGTGCCAACAGCTTGTTTCCCTTTTGGTAGCACCCATGTTCACTTCGCCTATCTGTCTGTTGTTGGTTCCATGTAGTTTTCCACAATTTCCAAATTTCGTCTGTCCAAGTGAAGCGAGGTCATACATTTGTCATTTTCTACATCGTTTTTCCCGGGGGTATGTCCTTGCGTCAGCCTTGAGTGGACGGATTTCCTTGGTCCGCGTATTAAGCGTTGTCCATCACGTTGTTAAACTTGGAACGAGGCTTCAAGTCAGAAACCGCAGATCCGACAGAGCGGACTGAAGGGTGGGATGTACGCTTCGCCAACATCTCCAAAAGTGGTGCTACTGTACATACATATGTAGTATCCATGTGACAAAAAAACGTTTACCATGGATTCTTCGGACGACAGGCTTGTGAGAACCTGGCGAAGAGGCGACCATGGTTTTGGCGAGGTCCTCGACGGGACGGGGAAGGTGGTCAAGGGAGTTTCAGAGGTGGGCGGGCAAGAATATAGACGCTGCCGTGCAAGTAATCGATTTGGAGAAAATAGTATGCAAAGCGGAACAAGGTCTTGGTACATAGGCAAACGAATTGCCCGTTGCCTGTGACAACGGATAAAGCAGAACAACACCCGGGTAGAGGGTAGACGAGACGCACATCGGAGGACAAACGTCCAACCCAACTATCCACCGAACTCAGACGCTAGTGTAAACAGTCCATTATATCTCAGTGTAGCAGCAGACGTTGCTTACCGACCTTGAGGATCAATTTGGCGGTTTCGGAGGTGGCACGTACTGAGGTCAGACCGACCCGTTTTCGCTCGAGTGAGTCAAAGCGAGTCACATCAGACGCAACAAAAAGAACAAAGGAATGGCCATGGTGGACACAAGACCTACACACACACAAGGCTAACGCTTTCGGTAGGCCTTCGGAAACAATAGCCCTGCTCGTTCACTATGTACGAATAACCCTTGTAGCTCTCTGCTAGAATAGCAATCCAACTGTACCCTCGGACTACGACAGAGCATGCCATTTTCCCTCGCGCTGAGCTTCTACCGATCGCTCGATATCATCTATGGAAGCTCCTTTTCCCTCCCTCCCAATCACCGTCCCTCACCCACTCGAGCAAAACTACTCGACCTGCCTGTGTCTTGGAACGTTCAAATCCCGCTTGACCTACCATGCTCACCCAGCCTCTCATATACTAGCCCGCCTATTCTCACGGTAACTTCACCACCTGGTGGTATTTCTAACGTAAACACCTACGCGCCACAGACGGAAGAGACCCCCGAGGAGCTGAATGATCGGGCGATCATACTGCCGGACCAGCCGATCAAGCTGCGATGGGACGTGGCCATATCTATAGTGTGCGTTTTGGTCGCCGTGCTCACGCCCTACAGGATGGCCTTCGCGCACAACGATGCACTCTCGTGGTGTATATTTGACGCTGCCGTGGATGTATTCTTCGTAATCGGTGAGTTCTCGCTTTTTGGGGGAGAACGGAGGGTAAGCCTTGAAGCCCCACCCTCACTGGGTTTTGCGTCCTCTTTGAGTTTTGTTGAAGAGGTGAAGATGGGGGATCGTTTTGAATCCTGCTCAGACACAGCAGAATCGCGTCGAAAGATGATTCATGCGAGACTTCTTCAAATGCGCACTAGCCCGGAGTAGTGTGCACCCCGAGATTCCACCCCGTCTCGCCTGCGTAATTGGCCGAACCACAAAAGATGTCAGTGTTTGATGAACGAGGGGCGGGATAGCCCGATATGGGCCAATGGTTCGGTTTCAGGTTTTTAAGAGGATAGGAAAGGAAAGATTTTCAGCCTGATGTCGTGGGCGTGCTTCCTGACATTGACGGGTGAAAATGGAGAGTAAACAGTGGAAGGACGACGAAGGTAGACGAGAAAGAGAGTTGACCTCACAATAAACGTGTGATGCGTTCCTCCGGGATACGTGAGAGCAACTTAGAGGAGAGAGGACCAAGGTAACTCTATGGTTGTTTGCTGTTTATCCCCAACCTGCCTTGAATTCACCACCAACTTAGATATCCAACCAGATGGACCATCTTCCAGAAAGCATGAAGCCTCGAGTTCTCGCGAATCGCAAGATAATTTTACCGAGGTCACAAAACCAGCTGCCTTACGTATGCTGTCTCCTCAAGACCCAAAAACAAAAACCGAAAAAAATATGCTGTAGGTGTAAACGAGAGGAGATAGACATGTTGCGGGACGGGAAAGTGGTATGATAGTGTTCTTAGGAATAGCCAGTGTTGGGGCAACAAGGTGTCTTACCGTAACGGATCTTGTGAAAAGGAATGACGAGGCGCAAACCTGTACGCCACTCCACTTGTTTATTGCGGTTGAAGGAGCGCTGCGCCCGGCTTGGCACGATACTTGTGTTTATTGTTATCTTGCAAGCCCTGACTTTTTTGTTTTCCCCTTGACTTGTGGATGCTGGCATTTCAGACATCCTGCTTCGGTTCCGCACAGCCTACATCGGCAACGCGGCAAACAACGTGATCGTGTATATCACGGTTCCAGGTGGGCGTCGCATGGCAGTGAAACATTTCATCTGTAATGAATCATTGCAGGAAAACGACGTTTTGAAGTGGAATACCGCTGTATCAGAGTGATTGACTTATCTGAACGTCGATATCTTCAGCATCCAACGACGTGTTTTAGGTGTTTATCGGAAATTACTTCCAAATATATAGAGTAGACCCATTGACAACGTTGGTCCCTACTAACCCCGACTGTTTGTGGCTCGAGCAGGGATGATCTTGAAGAACTATCTTCGGGGATGGATGCTCTTCGACATAGCCAGCACCATTCCGGGTTATCTGTTCGACGTTTCCGACCGAGTTTTCCGGTGAGGAGCGCCCAAGACCGGCGCGTTGTCAACGCGGGCGGTCGTTCCTGTCACGGCTAGTCTACGCTCGCCGATATACTCTTGTGCGAATCGATTCCACAGCACTCCTTGGAATGATATTGGATCGATACATAGTATGCTGCCTTGTAAAACACCACACTCAATGCAAATTCATTCCTCCCTACCTTTGGGAAGTTGTGCGGGCTAACGCGGGGTTTTCGTTTGTATTTCTGCAACAGGGGCCTTGTCGTGCTGAAGCTGTTGCGGATCGGGAGAGTGCCGGCGCTGGCGAAACAGCTGCACCTCTTGCGCGAGCAGGAAGCACTCGCGAGCGGAGGGGCTAAGCGAAGAAGATGGCTCCGAGGGATGAACGTCGATGTCCCTCGGTGGTGTCTCGACGTAGTGCAGGTAAGACAGACAAACTTGGCGACTGATGTAGAAAATCGCCGGGGGACTTTGGCAATGCCAAAGAGAATCCCAACATGTACCTCAAGAGAGAGAGCCAGAGAGAGAGGTAGGCAGGGTGCCTCAGCGAGCAGAGTAGGGAAAACCTGTTTTTCCTCCAAGTTATTTCGATCCGTTGGTGCTTACACCAAGCGCGGCCGGTCATGCAGACGAGGCCATCTAAGCCATCAAGCGCATGCTAGCCACCTACATCTTCATGTATGTATTCGAAGTATCTAGTTTCCTGCTTGTACTGCGCCTGCGTCGACTTTCCTTCCGTCATCAGTCCGCGGAGAGTCCTGGCCGGTATGACAAGGGAGAAGGTTGACCACAGTCTGTTCAGTGTTAACCATACAACAGATCCCTTAGCCCCCCAAAACCAATAAGTTCTGGAAACCACCCTGTGCGTGTCGCCCTTCGAGGACCTCCTCTCCCCCTCCCGCTGTCTCTCTTTCGTACCGAGAAAAGGCGAACGGTCGTCCTCGTTCTCTTCCAGCACAGGTTCCCAAAAACACAACGAGTTGCACCATTAAAACGTCAGTCCGTCTTCCTATCTGTTTCTCTTTCACGGTTGCGGCAGATTCTTGTGGTCATTTTGTACGCGTCGCATGTCTTCGGGTGCTTGTGGTGGGTAATGAGCCGGTACGACAGCGACGGATCCTGGTGGCAAAGGGACGGCTTAGATATCGACGACGCTACTTCCACCTACATTGCCTCTCTCTACTGGGCGGCAACCACCATCACAACGGTGAGGGGCGGCAGCGTGCGTATGTGTGTGTGGTTTTGAATTCGCATCGACCGCGCTAACGGACTGACCAATAACAAGACGCCAGTCTTGTCGCGGGATGATAAGCGCGAAACACGTTATATTCAAAAGGCTTCTAAGAAGGCTTCTACGGGGTCACAGGAGTCGGACGATAGCAGTGTTCTGTCTTTTGAAGTCAAGGACTTGATACTTTGTGTTGGAGTTTGTGTGCACATGCGTGCATACATGTATTGTGTGATTTTTACATCTACCGAGTGGTACAACACGATGGTCAGAGTAATTTTCTTCTTCGAAGAGAATGACGCCGAATCCAACGACACCAACACGTGGGATACGCAATCAGATTCACGCGGGCAAGACTATGCGTTGTACTGTAGCCATAAACGCCTCGCCATCTCTGGGCAAGGCAACTGCTTTGTTAGTTTCCAAGAACGGCGCACTACTTTGAACTGTCCACGATTGCGCCAACCACTCCTGTATATTCCTTCCTCCGACACATCCGCTCAGTGTTTCTCGTTTGGTTGGTCGGGCCTGCCCGTGTGCTATGATAGCTTGGTGCCGACCATGCGCTCGCAAAGGTCAATAGTCAAACCGCTGCACCGTTTATCAAGCCCTTCATGCTTGCATGGAGGGCCACCTGGCACGTTGCATAACATTCCCCCGACTGTCGGTATGTGTATTGGTTGGATTTGGTAGGTGGGCTACGGCGATTTGGTTCCAACGAACGATCTGGAGAGGATGATTGCGTGCCTGACCATGGTTTGCGGGACGACCATGTTCTCGTACGTCATCGGTAGCGTCTCCACGCTTGTCATGTGAGTGCCCGGGCCGAGAGAGTAGCTGCCGAAAGAGATGGAGGATATGTGCTGCCGTTGTTGCTTCGGAAAGATTGTGCATGTGTCGATGCTCTCGTCGTTGTTTGGAGCGTTGCAAGCACACGCAGCTGCTTCTTTTTGTGCTCCTAGTCTATCGTGGACAACACGAAAACGCCATGCAGTGCCATCTTTAGCGTGGAGAGGCTCGTTAGAGTGGGCCGACATCCCCCTCACTGTTCGTGTTGGGGGTTGGTTCTATATATCCTCGTGTTGCGCAGGCCGTGCTTACCACAACGTCCCTTGTTCCTTCAACGGTAAACGAAGCCAAGCTAAACCATTCACCTGCAACGAGACCCGTTGGTGTTGATTTGACAACCGCAATAACCCGAAACGGCCGTAAGAGTGTTTCCGTGTAGCCAGTGGCCAACCCTGCAAAAGGTGGGACCGTGCACACCCCCAGCACTCGCGAAGAAATCAACATCGCTCAAAACCTAGGCCGGGGGGGGGGGGGGGGGGGG